GGTCTCTTACTTCCTGATCTCAAAATTTAATGTACAGTCTCAATAGTCAAAACAGTCAGGTACTGGTACAACAAAAGACAACCATGTATCAATGGAACCAAATTGAGAATCCAGAAGTAAACCCATCCAAATGCAGTCAATAATTTTAGACAAAGCACCAAACATTAAATGGTGCTGACAAAACTAGAAATCCACATGCAGAAAAATTAAACAAGATACATATCTTACACCATATACAGAAACAAACTCAATATAGATTAAGTATCTAAGTGGATTAAATATCTAAATGTAAAACCTAGAACTATAAAGATCATAAATGAAAAATGTGGACAAACTTGGTGGTTCTGATATATAGCATAATACACTATCAAACATAACTAAAACACACACAACAAACAACAGAAGACAAAATAGATGACCCAATTAAAAAATGGGCAGAGGAAATGAACAAACATTTCACCAAAGATGACATTTAGGCAGTCAACAAACATGAAAAAATGTTCATGATCATTAGTCATTACAGAGATGCAAACAAAACAATGAGGTATCATCTCATACCAGCAGTAATAGCAAAGTTGAAACACCAGAACAAAACAAAACAAAATAAAGCAGGCGTGGAGACTTCGAGCCTCCTTCATTGCTGGTTGGACTGTAAAATGGTGCAACTGTTGTGGAAAATGGTATGATGCTTCTTTAAACAGTTGGAAATTGAAATACCATATCACCCAGCTCTACTTGGTATATATCCCCCCAAAATAAGAGTCCTGGCATGAGTAGATATATGCACACTCATGTTCATCTAAGCACTATTAACAATAACAAAAAGATGGAGACAGCCTAAATGACCATAAATGGAAGAATGGATACACAAACTTTGGTACAGACAGAGTACTACACAGTGTTGAAGAATAATGATAAATCTGCAGAACACCTCATAACATGGATGAACCTGGACATTATGCAGAGTGAAATGAGTCAAACACAAAAGTACAAATATTATATGAGATCATGATTGTAAAAACTCAAGAAAATGTTTTCACGCTAAAAAAAATATTCTTTGATGGCTACCAAAGGTGGGATGGACGAGAGAGTAATTCAATGGCTAACTCAGGCGACAGAGAAGGCAATATACAAGATGAGGGGGTCTGGCAGAAGAATCATAAATATGGTGAAGACAAAGGGAGGAATGCAAGGGTTAAAGGGGATAGAGGTAAATACTGTCATATACATAAAACTGCAACAGTGTTCAATTGGTCGTCAGGTAGACACATGGACAGATATATACAGGCTGAACAGGTATGGGAAGAATAGTGGGAATATATCCACAAATAAATAAGGGTCTGACAGAGGATACCTGTACATGGGTATTTATTTTTGTTGTAAACATACCTATGAAACTTCTTAGACATTATCAAGCATCTTGAGACAATGAGTTGCTGGATCTGGACCTCGGTTCTGTCTCAGGATAATAGCTTCTGGGGACACCATAGTCAACTGGCGTAACATAGTCTACAAAGACAATGCTCTGCATTCTACCTTTTTTTTTTAAAGGTCTAGGCATTTTTAATATTGAGAATTTGATGTTAATAAACAATACAGTGGTGTATTAGCTTTTTCTTTCTTTTTTTTTTTTTAAGTTTTTTATTGTGAACAGAAGTGATTAGTTTACATGGGGGAATATCAGTTTTACACTCATCATTCATTGCAATAATTACAATCTCTTCTGTGCTATCATCATTCAACAGTATTTGCTTCTATTCCCTTTTTTGGGGGGGATGGGGAGATGCACACAAAATCACTCAGGAATATATAATAATTTAAACAACCAAAGGACACATTCTACAAACCTGCCTCCTGGCTGCCAGCACACAGCCTTTCCCTTTCTATGAGTCTAGAGTCCTCAGCTGGTCTCTCTCTCTAGATGCTCTCATCTGTGGTGTTGCTGCTTCTCTGGATAGGGTCCCACATTCTGCTCGTGCTCTTCTCCTTTGATCGTCCTAGGGTACCCTGTTCCTGGACTATAAGATTAACTACTCCCCTCTTTTTGTTACAAAACTTCTACCACACAGTTGTAACAGTCAAACTTAGTCATAATAACAATTACTCACTATTGAAGCGTAAGTATCTTATCTCCATCTCTTTCACCAGACCCATCTAAACAAAATGAAAACTATTCAGTGGGGATTCTACCTCCCCATCCCCCAACTCTGAAATTTCCATTCTACTTTAGTGAAAAGCAACTGGAATTTTATAAGTTCAAGAACAGCCATCTAAGATTCAACTATTGGTCTCTCAATATGCAACAAAAATAAGTGACAAAAATTGAAGATGCTTGGAATCAGTTACTTCAATGTACTAACAGAACATGTGAGTATCTGTCTCAATGACTCTGAGAACAGAAAACTAGATGGTGCTCAGCTACCACTATCAACTGCTCTGAATGGGATCACATTAGCAGGTCCTGGATACAGTGGGAGACAATATGGAACAAAACTCAAAATTATAAAAATGAGCAGGCTTACAGGTCAGAGAGCAACTGGAGGAACATGAACACGAGACTATGGCCCTTGAGTGCCCTTCAGATCTGTAACAGAACTCACCCTCATGGCCCAATTTTCAACCAAGTGGTAGATAGGTATGTAGGGAAGACAACAGTACTAGTTGTTGCTCACCATGGAATGATCAACCATTCAAGGTCAAAAGGACAAGATTTACCAGGGAACAAGGTTCAGAGGTATTGGGAAGGAGAGAAGAATGGAAATGAGAACCACAGGGAGGAAGTGGAAGGACTGCTGTTACTTGGAAGAGAATGCAATCATTGAGATGCAACAAAGTCAGCCATTGAAAACTAAGGAACACAGTTCTACTCAGGATTAACTCAATGGCAGCTGTTTTGGTTTTATCAGTTCTATCAGACATTTTTAAGGAGCCCTGGTGGCATAGTGGGTTACAAATGGAACTCTTAATTGCAAGGTCAGCAGTTAAGAAAGGTAAAATTTTCTCCTACCCTTTAGATTTAGATTTAGAGTTGTGATGAGTCAGATCTGACTGGATGGTACATTACAACCACCACCACCATAAGCTTTTTAAATGACTGCATTCTTTAATATTTACTACTTTGATTTTGTCTTTATTGTATTGTTTATTCCTTTTCTATTTATTTCCACTCACTTTTATCTTCTTCTTCCAGACTTAAAAATGTAAAATTTTCCTTGGTTGCTATGATCAAATGATGTACCATTCCATCAAATTTCATTTTAATAGATAAGCAAGAGTTTTTCATTAGCACTGCAACCTACTAAATTAGTCCAAGTTATAAAATCATCTTGTTTCTTGGGAAACAATTTATTTTAGACCTTACATCTTTCTTAATCTATGCATTTTTCTCTTTTTTGATGCATGGGTTATTTAAAAGTGTATTGTTTAATTTCCCATATTTTAATGATCATGACTTTTTGTGTGGTTTTCTTTGTTTATTCTGCTTGGAGTTCATTGAGCTTCTTGGATTGGTGGTTCTAGTTTTCACAATATTTAAAGAATTGGGGCTATCAGATTTCATGTTTTCTCCCTCCTCACTCTGGAGCTCTTGGTTACACATGTGACAGAGTGACTGATATTATCTCACAGATCACTGAAGTATATTTTCTGTGTTCTTCTTTTTGGCAGTTTCTATCATATGGATTTAAGGTCACTGGCCTCTAGTTTTGCAGTGTCTAATCTGCTGCTATTATTCATGGTATTTTTCATCAAAAAATATTTTTTTCATCTCTAAAAATTTTTAATGTTTTTCATGGAAACATTTTAATATCTCTCCTTATTTATTTATGTGCATGGTTTCTTCAACATTTTTGAGCATATGAAATATATGTATTAGCAGTTTTAACACCCTTACCTGGGAATGCTATCTTTGTTATTTCTGATGAAAATTTTATTGATTATCACTCATCTGTTCTTACTTCTTTACTTACTGGCAATTATTTACTTAATGACAATTGGAAGTAGCATATTGAAATTTTCAGTTTTATGCTATTTAGTGTTAAATTGTGTTACAGTCTGTTGTACTCCTTTGAAAACCATTGGACTTCATTACAACATGTAGTTATGTGGAATCAATTGTATCCTTCCAAGCGTTGGTTTTAAGGTCTGCTCTGGCAACTTTCAATCTAGGGACACTTGAAAGCAATTATAGAGCCCATCTTCTTGGTTTCCTTTTATTCAAAGCCTGTTGTCCAATGTTTAAAATAAATTGAAATTTGTTCATCTATTTTGTTTGGTTTTCTAGTGGGAAAGTGATTTCTAATCATTCAGGGATCGAGTTAGAGAGTCACTAAATACCAAGTGTCTGAACTTTATTGATTCAGTACTCAGTATATGGCAGTGATATTAAATAGCCCTTTGCTATATATTAAAAAGTCAGTGCAATTCTGTAGCATTTGCTGGCAGCAATCAAAGAAATTGCATTTTCCAATAAATTTACTGCTTAGTAACAAGATCATTATGCCCGATAATCCACAGTATAGTCAAGATCAACAGTTTTCAACTCTGGCTGTATCTGAATGACCTGTAGAACTTTTCTAAAATTCTAATACCCTGTTACAGTACTCAATAAAAAATTCAGAGCTTCTTAAAAACTCTACAGTTTAGTATATACTTGTATACTAACATTTATTATTCATAATTTTATTATTGTGGAAATGGAGTGTTTAAAAGTTGACTTCAAAATAAACCAAATATCAAGAAAAAAAAGTAAGTTTGAATTTAATAATACTATTACAACATACTGGAGTCCTGGTGTGGCATGGTAGATAAGCACTCAACCATAAGGTCAGTTTAAACCACAATGTTGGAGATTCAAACTCACCAGGCACGCCTCAGAAACCCTATACAGGGTCACTATGAGTCAGAACTGACCTGGCACTTACAACAACAATAATAATTGCATCATTTATTCCTAAAAAGTTAAAATCAACAAATATTCCAATTTAAAAAGTATCACTTACCTCTTTCACATTTGCATCATCAAAAAATACCCATTTGGAACTCTTGGTATGAAAAGCAAAGGCACAATAATGTTGGCTGGAGTAGCAGATTATACCAACAAGGTGAAGTTCACTATTTCTGGCATTTTCATCAGTAACCCTATAAAAAAGCTGTTTGAAAAATTTATAGTGTACATTTTATACTGTATCTTTAGAAAATGAGGAACAATAAATTGATGAATTGGTGTTTAACTTATTAAAAAAATATTTCTTATGCACATTTCCCTAATTTAATACAAGGGGACTTCAAAAAGTTTGCCAAAAACGAAAATTAAGATCATGAAACTTTTTCATGAACTTTCTGAAGCTTCTATGTATTAGTATTGAAAACATTATTGGCATTGCAGAGTTATAGAATAACTACTTTCAATTAATTTGTAAAACACATTAAGCCTAATGACATATATTTACCATACAATTTGTTCAAATCTCCAAGAAGAATTGATCCTTTAGATAAACTCAAAATGTAAGATAAATTATATGTTGTTGTTAGGTATTGTCAATTTGGCTCCAAAACAGTGACCTTATGAACAACAGAACAAAACACTGCCCAGTCCTGCAACACCCTCATAATCATTGTTAAGTTTGAGCCCACTGATGCTATCACTGTGCTTATCCATCTCACTGGGGTTCTTCCTCTATTTGCTGATCCTACACTTAACATAACATGATATCCTACTCTAGGATCTGGTCCCTCCTAATACGTCTGAAGTATGAGAGATGAAGTCTGGTCATCCTGGTTTC